TTTTAATTGATCATGAACACAATAATTAGTTGTTTTATTGTTTAAAAATATATTAGTAAGTATCATTGTAAATCTATAGAATACATTGTGTATATTCAATATTATGAATTATTTTATGAGCACCAATAGATAACTAAGTTAGTTGAATGGTTTTCTAGTGTACCGAGAATTTGTATGCTATTTATTTGCTTTGGTATTTTATCACCCTATAAAAAATACACCGATAATTCGATACGTAAGATAGCATAAATTAAAATAACAGAAATTGGTCTTCTAACAATAATGTCAAACGCCATGCCTATGAAATATTAATACTTTCAAAACTATTTATCAGATGTTAAAGTATATTGAAAGTTGTCTATAACTAAATAATTGAAAGATTACAACAATAAGTAAAGTAGATTACTACTACAAGACGAGATTAATACAATTTTAGATTTAAGTAGAAATTATAACACATTTGTTTAGTTTACAGCAAAATTACATACTGAATAATATTAAGTTTAACCCTTAACTTAGGTATTGAAATAACAATTTTAAAAAGTACAGTTGTTACACATAATTTTGTCTTTGAATATTTATTAAGGTTTGTGTTGAAATTTTAAACTAAACTATACATAGGCTATGTTCTGTTACATACCAATCCAAAAATAAGAAGTCAATAAAATATTATTTTCGATAAAATGTCTCTTTAAAAGAGTGTAATAAAACTACCAATGTTAATCATAAAAATAATAACAATAAAACAAAAGAACCATAAAATTCACAAAAACCAGTGGAAGACAAACATTTTTCACAGAATTCAGGCAGAACGAGTTTGTTTATTAGGTATATTAGTTATAATACTATTATACAAGTTACGTATTTCATTTATTTTTATTTTTGAACGAAAAATGTTAATGTTTTGGCGTTTAGTCAAATATTATATAATATTATGTAGTTACTATAGTTATAGTGTTTGTATTTAATATAGTTTTATGCATTTCTAGTGCACACTCCAACTCTTATGAGAATCTAATTAAACCTCTATTGTTAAACAATAAGGACAAAGTTGAATTAGTTTTGAATTAGGTAATTGAATAATATAATCCTATATGTATCTACTATCTACAACTCCACAAGTACATATTTAGAAAAATGATACGACATCATTAGTTATGGCAGATAACGCATTTTCAATATTTGGCGATTAATTTATAGTAATAATTTTTGAAGTAAACAATCAAAAATTATAAAAAGACAAATAAGAAATTAATGATATTATTTTAAAAACGATTAATTTTTTGATTTAAATATTAGGTTAAGTTATTTAAAATTCATCGAAAAATAGGAAGGTACCAAATAAATCATATTATTATTGTACAAACTATTAGATGTATTATCATTATTTCTAGAATCAATGGTATTGTACTATCGCTATAATATTATAGTCATGTCATTATGCCAAGTAGCTCTCGAATATTGTATACTAATAACAATTAACTTCAAAAGTTATAATTAGCTTATCCATATTCCAATTGGAATCTTGATATTACAGATGAATGACATCTTACAGATGACACGTTTGTTACCTAGTTGAAAACATCGTGAAGATACTGTATCTAAATAATAATGAATACAAAAATGTTTTCAAAAAACAAATAATTAATTATTTTTTATTCGTAACTATTATAGTATTATAAATATTTAACTTCATTTGCAAATTTAACCTGTAAATAAAATATAAATACTCATCACTAGACATTTTAATTTAATTTAGCTTGTTTGACTACTATCTAGTTAAAATGATTTAAAATATGATACAGTTTGATAATATAAATTATGTTTATAAATATTTTAATGCACCTACAGCCGCATATTATTTAGATCCTATAACACAATACAAATTTAGATTGTAGTCAACTGAAACCACAGACATTAAGAAAAAGTGAAGGAGTGTTATACTTTATATCTAGACAAGGGCAATATTTATAGGTAATTTTATGGCTAAGACACAAAGTATTTTTTGTAGCTTTGTACTGCACCGAAAATAAAATAAAAATAACTAAATAACTCAAACGGACAGTTGAAGACCCATTTTTCGATTAACTACAAAATAACCACAAAAAAGAATGATAAAATAAAAATGTTTAAATACCTTTTGTACAGGTTAGGTTTGTACTTACACAAAATACCAAAATTTAAATGTATAAGATTATAAAAAAATAAAAATAATGATACATTTATTTGTTACTTTTATAGGCTGTATAGTGTTCTTAATTCTTCAGAGGAAGCTACTCATGCGTTTCTTGTACACGTGTACGACATACCAAATTTTCGGAAAAAATAGAAGACGCTTAAGTACAGATAATGTTCTTACCCAAAAATTGTATTCACTCTAATATCAAAACTAACTACAGACTATTGAAACTAGTGAATGAAAATTTGTTGTGTCGTATGGAGACAACAATGTCACGGGCAGCGTCCTATTAGGAAATTCAAAGAATTATAGAACAATGTTTTTGGACTTCGATTTATTTTTATATTGCATTGCATATTAGACATAATCTATGAAAAACAAAAATCATTGAAAATAGTTTTATATTTAACATTGACTAACTAAAATAACAGTTTTATGTACTTGTGGCTTTATTATATAACAAAAGTATGCATACAGACTGATTATAAATTAAAGAGAAGTTAATACATTGAATATAGCTACCTACTAGTACATTGAAGGAAATAATTGTATAAAACTTATTTCAAAGAAACTTATTTTTAAAAATGTGGTATCCAAATAAAAGCTTCTCATTTCATATTTTTATCGAAAAATTGTTTTGTTCCCTTTTAACGAGCCAGCGCGTAGGATCTATTCATATTTTCCAGGAATATTTTGTCCACATTATATTCAATTTCAATACAAGTTCTTCATTAGAAACAGAGTTTGGATTAAATATATATTAAAATGTATTCACAAATTTACCACACACATGAATATATATTTTATAATTTACCGATATATACAAATCATATAACTAGAGGTTAGGTTACGTAAATTGTTAACGAATATTAATAAAATCTTATTGTGAAGAACGTTGAAAATAAAATGTGCAACACATGTTTGATAATTTCGTTTTTGGTTGAACTATTTAGGTAAAATATTAAACTTCAAAATGAATATGTTAACAAATATTCTTATTGGATTTATCATTATTGGCTTACAATGCGGTTAAAGGTAATTACTCTTCTTTTACATAAAATATAAGAAATAGTAAAAAATTCTTAACAAAAAAACCAAACTGCACTTGTATTTTAAATTAATCAGTAAAAAATGAATATAATATTTTCTACCACTCATTTGTCGATTAAAAATTTTTGGATCACTTACTATCTTCAAAAAATGTGTTCACGTTTACAAACCTTACAATCAATATTATTGTATAAGAACTTTTAAAATAAATATTATATAAGTAAATGTACATAACATTGATATTGTGTACAAATACCAATAATAGTAAGTTTATTGTTCGTAATTAAATATTCAAACAAATTGTTCAAAGCGTCATCCTGCAGACATATTGAATTGTATTTATAAATACAAATTAAAATTGATCTAAACATCACTTCTAGAGTTATGTACGGTTTTCTCTTTGTTTTACGAGTAGGTACACGCAGTATTCAACAAAGGATCGTTTGCTATTAAACATAAAATATAACAGCGAATATGACACAGGACTATATAGCTTATATTTAATATAAAATATGTTTGTATCGAAAATATTATAAGATGATAATTTTTATACAGTGTTTAAATAAATAGTTAACGGTCGTAAAATAGTTTTTTCAACTTTGTTATGAACATAGAATTCTTATGATGATCCATTAAATATTTCTATAAGGGTTAAAATATAGACAAGTTTTACTTAAGTTCTGTGCTGATTAAAATGTAAAATGTTTCACAAACATTTTCAGAAGGAATCCCATATTATTATAGAAGAATGACTAATTTTGTCTTAATGTTCAAAATACATCTAGAATTCAACATTTATTTATTGAATAAGAATGTTTTTATTTAGTGGACACGCAGAAAGTTAAATTTAGTTCATAAGTAATGTGTACAATTATAGTTTATACACACAACACCCAGATTTATTACTTCAATAGACATTTTTTAGAGTATTATAATAAATTAAAACTTTTTTTTGAAAAACATTTCATACATTGTACGTTTGAAAAGTGCAACGTTAAAATTAATTAGGTATTGGTTAGCACAATTTTTGGTAGTATTGGGCGGAAAGAAATTCGCAAAATAATTTGCAATTTAATTTTTAAATTACGGAAGAATGAGTATGATATGTCAAACATAAAGGTACATCTTGGAAAGTTGTCCGAGCCTTTACATATTAATAAATACCTTTATAACTACAACTTTAGAATGAAACATGTAAGTACGATAACCATAACTGAAGCGAATAATAGGTATATTTGTGAATATCTGTAGACTTTTTCGATCACAGAAAAATTTACTATTAAGCTATAAACATAGGAAATTAACTATAGGTAACAAATAAAATTTTTATATTTTGTTGAATATTGCTAGAGATGTGATTAATTGACACATAGCTACCTAACAATGACACAAAAAAATCGTACATGCATGATACATTGAATAGAAATCAGAGTACTGAGAACAAGACCAGAGCCCAAAAAACCTCCCTGTCGATGGAAAAAATTTTTAATTTCATTGTTTTAAAAAAAAATTGTAAGTGCCTATTATATAATTGTATTATTAAAATCATTCAATTGCTGAGCGTCAAATAAAAGGTGAACAAATATATATTACCTATATGAAAAACTAAAGAAGACGAAGGAGTCTCCTAATGTATGAAGACATTGCACTCAAAATATAGCCAGCGAGTATGAAAACCCATAGCACTTTTATAGTTTTACTTTTAAACAACAAAGCAGGTGGCGGATGACAATTTTCGCAAAACCATAATATTATTTATTATTATTATTACTTGTTTCCGGTGGGTTTATCGACGATCAGCTGCGAGTCCTGGCATTCGTAGCGATCGGTGTAGGTATTATTGTTGTTGTTGATGTTGTTGTATTTTATGTTGTTATTGTTGTAGTTGTTGTAATAGTTGTTGTTGTTGTAGTTTTGTAAAGCTTGGCTCGGCGGCTGAGTGGACAACGGCACATGAGGGTCGTTAAGGCCGACTGCCGGGGGATGATTATTTTCATAAGCGTTGTAATATTGGTTGTGCGGCTGCGGCGGAAAGTCGGCCACCGATGGATGAGCGGGAACGCCGTAAGGGTCCTCATTAGGCGAGTAGCCGGGGCGATAAGACATGGGCGACATTGACGAAGAGGATGACATGGGCGACGACAGCGAGGACGACATGGACCGGTAACCGTTGTCCAGCGGCGCGATCGGAGACGACGACATCGCGGAGCACAGATTTGTGTTGTCGTGGTGCTGCATCGGGGGGTCATGGAGTTGGTGGTACGGCAGTTGCAGGTTTCTTTGGTGGTGGTGCTGCTGCTGCTGAAGATGTGGCACGTATGGATGACGATGGCGGTCTAAGGCCGGGGCGAAACCGGTTACGCCGTGCTGCATAGGCGTGCAGCTCGGGTACATGGACGATGGTACGATCGCGGAATCGTCACAACAGCCACCCGGAAACATGACGGCGCCGTAAAAATTATTTTTGTACCGATAAGCTAGTTTTTGGATCTTTCAAATTGTATATTATAAATTAAAATAATCCTTCGACGGGGATGAAACCCAAAAATAAACGAACAAAAACCGAAAACACAATATTATACGCTATTTAGATACCTACAATAACCGGAAGCGTTTAGAGACTCGCGAACAAAAAGGTCAGGACACTAATAATAATAATAATATTACCAACGGTGGTTAACGGCAGAGCGCCGTAACGGCGGCAGCGGCGGCGGCACGAGCGTCAAAAACCCTAACCGCACTCAACTCGGAATCGCGTGTACAGCACATGTTGCTTCCGACTCGGTGACTACTTCTGGCGGCCGTGGCGAATCGCTCGACATTGACACATTGAAGGAAGGGAAAAAATCGCGGGCGAGCGGGCGGACCGCCTCCGCTGGTGGGTCGTCCCGCCGCGTATGCGCGCGCGGTCCAGTCCTGCAGTGCAGCCGGGCCTGCGCACGGTAACATCGTGGTCGGCGGGCATGCGCGATCGCTCGCTCGCTCGGTCTCCCGCGGCGGCAACACTGCACCGGCCGCTTGGCGGTGCTCTGGGTGCGCGTGACGCGGCGTTTTGTGCATCGCGAGCGGCGCGCCGCGCAAGACAGGTCCGCCGTTGCACTGCCGCGCCACCGACGGTAACTATGCAATTCTCATGACCCGAGGTCAGGGTCTGCGGCGACAGAAGAAGGATACACCAGTCTCGATAATGACCCATGTCATATATACGTAAACATTATACACCATGCAATATGATAAAATATATGATTTTTGACTTTTTAAATATTGTATTGTACGAGGTAATTAAGTATTACATGCCTATACATATTACTAAATTGTATTACGTTTCCGCGACTTCTCCGTAGTACCTACCGCCGCCGAATCGATATATTAAAATGTATGTTGTGCGACGTGGGAGGTTTCGATTTTAGGCTCAGATAACTAATAACCTCCACGGTTATTCATTTAAAATATTGTTTAAGTTGTACTTAATTCAATTGTATCTACACTGCAAAGTTGTATACTTCGTTATTTCACGAAAATAAATAAATAAATTTATATTTAAACATTAGTATAATATTAACCTTGAGTAGATTATACATATTAAAATTAATACACTTTAAATCCCATGAGCACCATGTTTTTTTTTACCAAATTTAACTAATCAAATAGGTATATCAACGAGTAAAATATTATAGTATCACCTTACACAATGTTATTAGAACTGTTCTATAAATATGATAACTGATTAGTATAAAAAATACTTATGTACATTTTGTTATTGAACCGTTTTATTAATTTTGTACATCACAAGAGCACAACCCATTTTTTACCGGATTGAAAACTTATACTCAACAAAATATGTAATTTATTTATTCAATTTTGAGTAGCAATCGAAAGCTTTTCGAGGTCATCAGAAATACATCTAAATTAAAAATATAACAAATTCAGTTATTGCAAAAAAATGAATATAGGATTTAACGATTTTATTATGAAAAAATAAGAATTATTATTTAGTAGTTCGTAGGTTGGCGTTGGCTAGGTATTGGTGTAGGTTAGGACAATAATGTATATTATATTTATTTTAATTTTTTCTATGAATACATTCATAAAAAGTCAGACATGATATAAAAACGTGTCGGTGGGCAAGCGTCCAACTTCGCTCTCTTCCATGCAAAACAACATAGTGTAGTATAAAATAAAATAATAATATAATATCAATATAATGATCATATAGTTATTATATAATTCCCACTTTTAATTCAACAATAAAGTAACGTACTCGAAAAAAATATTTTGAATAATAGAGTTTAGTTTACTGTACTGTATTTTGTATTTATAATTTATATGAATATCTAAAAATGTTGAGTAACGTAAACATTAAGTTCCATAATCTTCACAATGTCGATAATTCCTTGATATAATTCACAGTCAAAAAATCATTTACATTTTATAAACACAAGCTACCAAGTTGTATATCATAGTATATATTAGGGTGATAACTTAGAAATTACCAGAATAAAAAAGTGGCCACTGGAGGCAGATTTTAAAATTCCTCCCTATAAGTACTACAATTACCTACTGGTCATCACTAACATATAAATAATAATAACCCATATTGTCACAATCTTTTAATTAATATACATTATACACTATACTATTTTAAACTCGGAATTGCTTAATTTTCTTAATTTTCATTCATATTAAAAAAACCCTTTTAATAATACAGTATTTTAACTTTTTTTTATCACTGATTTTGGCTATAATTTATGATTTTAATTAAAATGTTCAATAGTTTTATAAACATTTTTTGGGATCGCTATTTTTCTCGATAAATATGTTTTTTAATAATACATACTTATTAGTTATTACATTTTAATAAAATATACAACTTTATTACAAAGTTAAGTCATTACATATTACTGTAGGTGTGAACTGGTAAACAATAATTATAAACTAGATAATTGTTTAACATATTGCAATATGGACCAGACCAACTTAAATGAATATATCAAAAAGAGTCAAAATAGTTTGAATGTATACCATTTATAGAAAAAGCTAATATACATATTTGGTAGAAATTTGAAGTATTGATTTTTCATTTTTTGATCATATAATCATTCATTTCTTAATTACAACGAAATAACCAAATCAATTTTGTCGAAAACTGGTAGGGACTTTACTTTATGGTTTTACAATAGTTTAAATATTTTTCAGCTATTTATAGACATTTGAATTTTTTGTCTTAAACATTTTATTTTCTCGTTAATGCCGATAAAAATTGTTTAGTGTATTCAAAAAGCTTAAATTTGCTGCAATTAAAAAGAAAGTTGAATGTAAATCCACAATATTTATTTACTGAGTTTGATATTAGAATTTTGATGACAAATGAATAAAATATTCAATTCGTATAGTTTTAGAAGCTTTCTAGGCTTGCAAATTTAATACAAGGTACTTTATAAGTAGTTATTGAAACCAAAAACTAAACATGTACAGATACTTTGTCTTTATAGAAATTTGAACAAAATCAGATATGTAAATGAAAAATATTGATTTAAATTATTTCGTTGTATTCAAAAATATTATTCGGGGGAACTTGAAATTTTTTGGGTACCTATATTATTATACTATACAGTATACACACACAACGACGTTTTTAAAACATTTGTATTCATTTTAAGCTATTGCCTATTTATACCCCGAAACTATTCCCGCTGTAAGGTGACATAACATGACATGTGTAGTAATAAAGGCTGACAGACCTTCGCTCAGAGTTGTTTTTCTTATACAAGCTTTATCAGAGAATTACAATTTAACGCATACACTATACAGCGAATTCACTATGATGAAGTCCGCCACTCAACACCAAGTGTACAACAAAAACGGCAACTTATTCTCTCTCTTTTAGTACCTATGCAATGGTTTTAACCGAAAATTTTAAAACGATAATATGATATTGTGAACCATACTGATTTAAATCTTACATCCTACATAATAATGTTCCATTAATACATTTTTATTTTTCAACGTGAAAAATAGAATTTTATGTAAAAATATCATAATTTATGTATTCAAATCGAAGGTTTTATATTTTAGGCAACTGGATGTAAAATGATATACTACTTCCTTACCTTGGTGGATTTGAGCATACAGTCCCTTCTGCACTATATCGGGATGAAGTAGACTTTTTATCGTCTGTTCCTTGCTCTCGATCTTCTTCTTCAGCATCGCCGCAATCATCTACACGAGACGAGTTGCTATTATCCTCCATGACTGCTATACCTAGAGGATATTCAATAAATAGTATAAGTCAAATGTATATTCATTAGCCTGCAAAAATATTAATTCATAATAAACGATAAATTATTTGAATGTGATAAACTGATAAACAATACCGAGCACAGTTACGTATTTATCTTAGTGTCTACAGTTTAACACCGTAATGTTGTACACGCTATACATTTAAATAATATATTTTTTACAGAATTCGAATTATTTCGGTTGTTAATATTATCTTTTGGGCAATAACTTCATGAAATAATTTGAAAATATACAATAAAACCTGTCGTAGAAAACTTGTACAAAATAAATTCCTTAGTATTTTTTCAAATAAAAAATATACTAGTCAATACAAATATACTCGGTCAGACATACATATAAATAAACTTTGTATTACGAACCATTAATGGTCTATTTAATACATGCTGAACCAAAAATGAATCAAAAATAAGATATTTTTAAATTCAACGAGACCTCATGCATTTTTTTTTAAAGTGTGGTTCGTACAATGGAGTATAAAAAAATACTTTTAATATCATCATAAGACAAAAAAATAATTGACAACATTGTAGTCATGTTCTATTGTAATCATGTAATTCATACTCAAGTAAAAAAGTATGCAACTTCAAAAAGAACTGGAAATTATTAATCAACACGACCAATCTTACACATAGTTAGGATAATAATTATCGATTATTTTGATGAATAAGAATCTTCTATTTTCATAGTCATATTTTTACAATTAAAATGCACATGAAAACGTTTAAACTTAGTGGTAAATATGATTTTAAAAAAAAAACCGGACATAAAGCTGATTAAAGTTACTATTTATTAAATGGCAAAAGAAAAAAACAGCAACTTAATATTATAAAAAAATTAAGGTTTTATCATTTTAGATCATATTTTCAAAATATTTCACACAAAATGTATACATGTATAAAGACGAAATTAATCACAATAATGTACATTAATTTACATAAGTAATTTTCTGATTGTGAATTGTGAAGATATAAAGAAGAATTATCAATTTTGTATCTAATGCACTATTTTTATAACTACCTATAACGAATGTCATCTTATTGGATCACTTAATGTAGATAATAGTTATATAATTAAATTGATTTAATAAAACATCATAGGTACTCTGATATTATTATACATTCTAAAAAACATTTTATCGACTACACAATTAAAAACACAGAGAATTTATGGTATAAAAAATGAGGTAAGAGATGGTAAGAGCCGAGAGGTAATTATAGGATATTATAATACATTATGGAGTACAATTTTACTTTATTTATTAACTATAGTATTTTAAAGTTAGAGTTAGATTATATTATGTAGTTATCGATTTAGATGATAACATTGAACTAATTACACTTCTTAAAATTGTTATGCTTAAATTACAAATTATATTGTGTTGAGGGATTTATGGCAGATTTTATGTCACAGCCTCCAATGGCCAATTTAACACTGTCCATCTGATAACCGAGTTCAAACGTATTAACAATATTCATCAAACAATTTAACATTTCAAATGAAGTACGTTCTCCTCTA